TGGAGAACCGTTTCTATAGTTTTTCGCTAAGTAAAAAAGTCTTTTCACGCATCTTTTTCACAGTCACATCATTGCAAAAATAACACTGTGTAACTTAGAAAAAACACTCAGAAAAAATTCCTTCGATCCGGTCCGGTGCCAGACGCTATACCAACTAAGCCACGGAACGAACCAACGGACCTCACGAATTTTTTTCTATGTGCTTGCGTCGTGTCTTTGTACTTGGTCTTTCAACGACTTTTTAGTCGTAGCGCCATCTATGAGAAATCTATGACAGATTTATCACCCAGTTAGTACCTTTACAGCTACCAGTCCTGGCGAGAGATGTCACTATTCATTGTATTGATTATTATTGAATGGATATTCAATTATACTATAGAAAAGTAGTAGTAGTAAAGTAGAAAAAAAATTCGTGAGGTCCGTTGGTTCGTTCCGTGGCTTAGTTGGTATAGCGTCTGGCACGGTATGCAAGGAGACGTCGGTTCGAATCCGATCGGATCGAAGGGATTTTTTCTGAGTGTTCGATCTTTGTATTAATAATTATAACAAACTAATGGAGTAATTTCACAAAAGATAATTGAATGACATTCAATAAAAATTTAATCATTACTGTCATTGACTTACAAATAAATGGACGACGGGTCTAATACAAAAACCACGAAAAAAATGTCCCAAGTCAACCTATTCGAAATTTAAATTGTTATGTCATCGCAGTATCGCGCTGTCCGTAGAACAAATGAAGACTAAAGCGGAGTGTCGCGCTCTGTATACGATTTTAGCGCCTTACAAGTGCGGACACTTTTTAGCGCGGACCCGACGTCCATATAATTGTAAGTCAATGATTACTGTGTAACTTTTCAAACAGTTTATTTTTCTGGTTGGACGGCATTGGTTTCTCTTTAAATTATCAGCAAGTATGTAGATAACTGTAACTTTTTCACTTAAAAAACCGACATCAATAATTCGTGGAATTACATCTATTTGCCAAGTTTTATTGTAATCGGTTACCGGAAAGTGCGCGAAACCGAAATCATCCCCTAGTTTGCCACCCTTAAGGGTGGAATATTTTTTCAAATTTAAATAGGACCAACATTGAGGTCCACAAATGTCAGAGTAATGGCATAACATACATACAAAAAAAATACAGTCGATTTGAAAACCTCAATTTTGAAGTCGGTTAAAAAGAGTAGCTATGCCTCTGAAACTTTGTTTTTGTGGCCGCCACAGTGGAATTTACATAATCTCGCAAATTAATACAATCAATGTGATCAATGTGTACAATTTTTGTTGAAAAATGCTATTAATTTGAAATGTAATGTAGGGAACATTTCGGTCTGTAATTATGGAGAAACCCGAACATTCTTAATTTACTATATGCTACGCAAAGGGCAATGGCGAATTCCCATATACATTTTTATAGTATATGAAAAATATAGTTTAAATTCCTGAACAAAAAAGGGTTTATTATTCTAAGAAATCTGGAATTAAAAATGCTACAGTTTTGGAGGTTAAGTTCTACTTAATTGAATAAAATATATTCGGTGTATATATATACCAATATAAATATATACAGAGGAACCTGAATGAACAAAAAAGGGTTTATTATTCTAAGAAATCTGGAATTAAAAATGCTCTAGTTTTGGAGGTTAAGTTCATTTCAGTTTAATATAATATATACAGAGGAACCTGAATAGTGCCGTGGGTTTGTAACGTGACGAAAGTTCAGAGGAAATAATTTTATATAGCGATATGGTAAAAAAGAATATAACATCGGGTCCTTCAAACGTAGTGTGAAGAAGCATTTGGCCAGACCGGCAAAATGATAGTGACGGAGTGAAGATAAAGAAAACTGAGTTAATACAAACTGGACGGACCGTATAGAATGAATTCCATGTCTAATTGTGCGACGCAAATAACTTTTTTGTAAAACGTTCCATCTATCCATGTTATCGGAATTTTTTTTGTCAGTTTTACCACCTTCTCGCGTGACATATTTAATATTTTATTGCAATCGGTCGAATCAATGCATTTAGCATTACGTGAACTAACTAAATGTGCACCTATCTATACGTAAGTACCACCAGTGGGGAGTATAAATGGGTTGATCATGAGCTCTATTGTGCAGACGAATTTCTTTCTGAAGTATTTTTTACCCTTACGGAAAAAGAACGCAGCATTAGTCGCTGATCGTCTACATTTACACACACGCGCAAGTTCAAAGAGCGATCGATTGAACAAGTGTTCAATCCGCTTCAAATTTGGTATGGATATTATGAAAATCCGATAACCTAGGTACTGCCACCAGGATAGTCTGCCGATTACCCAACTCCTCAATTACTTACAGCAAAAAATGAAACTATTTTTTCGAAGCTAAATCGCGTTCTACGCGAGAAACACCTGGAACGAGACCTGCAAAAGGGTCGAGAAAGTTTCATTTCCTGTGTGTAACAATCACGAAACGCTACACTAAAAACGCAAACTAGGATGATCCCTGTGACATTTCATTTGACGTTTGTCATATGGATGAGGTAACGTCGACAGATTTTTATTTTTTATTTTATTTATTTGATTTTCAACCGACTTTAAAAAAAGGATTTTAAAGATTTCTCCGTCAATTGTAGACCATTTAAAAAAAATCTTTTATTGTTTGAAAGGGTGCACTCTTGAAATCGAGGAAAATACTAAAATTTTAAGCACATGTACACTGACATACCGATTTTTGTATGAATTGTGGACCAATTTTCAAAATTCTGGATTTGTTTGATAGGGTATACTCTCGAGGTGGTCTCTGCTGCCAACTATGCTGTTCCGGGTTCGTTTCGGCTGTCACAAATCAAAAAATATTTTCCGCAAATAAAAATCGACTTTTCACTTGTCATGTAATCCACAAATCACCGTCACCAAATTTGAATAATTTGAAAATCATACTTTAAAAATGAATACCTTCGGGTATTCATACATAACACAAATAAAACATTTTATCGATATACCTCAACTCTATCAAATGCAGTGTAATGAGGTAGTAACTTTTGCACGTTGTCGTAAAAAAGTTAACGAATTTTTTATAAAGTTATACCCTCCGTACTACCAACAAAAACATCTCAAATAAAATGCAGATACACCGCAAATCCTGCACTTAAAAAGCACTAATGAAATTTTTGGTGTACTTGGATAAATATGATATACGTTTACCATGAAATTACTCCTTAAAGTATAGTTTATAAACATTTATATTCAGGGTAAACTTAAAAAACGCAACTTACGGTATGTTTTCGATAAATAGACACCGACATCACCAGCCCAAACAATAACACACACGATTGTCGTGACGTATTTTTGAAGTTGTTTATTTTTTTTAAATGACAGACCCAGGCATTAAAAACTTTATGGTTTGCTAGAGTAGTTACCGAAATAGCAATTAATGTTAGTTCTTTTACCTGTTATAACTTCGATATCCGATAAATCGGTATAAAATCATCACCGGCACCTCTAGGTGCGGTATGCGTCTACGGCTGCATGTATCGCGTGAGCGGATAAATAATTTTCAATATAAGAACTGTTTACAGTAGAACTCGTGCTTGGGTTCCTTAAATTTGGTCTCGTCGACTTGCAAGTGATGGCTTTTCTGACGATTTTTTAATTTTAATTGAAGTGTTGTTGCACGATCTGTTTCGATTTTGACAATATATTTTGTTATTAATTTTTCTTTGCTTCAACATTGTTTGTATTGTTGCCAGTAAACATTTGCGTATAATGCTTCAATATTGTACTGTTATATTAATCGTAATGTTATGACGTTGGTAATATGAAATATGTTCACCTCTACTGCTAATAAACATGAAATTTAGTAGCTGTAGAGCACCTTGTGAAAGAGTGCGTCCAGGAAAGTACAGTCAACTTACCTATTTCTGCCGCCAAACAGTATTGTGAGCATTACTGCCTTCCGGTTTTGTAGGGTAAAGGTGTTGGTGAAATTACAAACACACGAGACTTATCAACTTACGTCTCAGAGTGACAGGCGCAGTGCCAGTGTCCCTCCTCCTCCTCCTCAGATCTTTGTAATTGCTACGAGTGGCACTGTGAATATGCTTTGTAAAAAGAAATATCGCACGGCTAACACAATAGTGTACTAATTCAAAAATTCAGAACCGTAAAAAAACTAATTCTTCACTTTCCGTGACAGATTATTTATACAATTTCCTACTTGCCAAATATATAAATAAAAGGGATACAAAATTTTACGAAATTGTTTTTCTTTTCCAGTAAGGAGTGTTTTGTCCAGAACTAGTTCATGAAAAGTTTGTCTTACTTTGACTTAAGTAGATATTTTTTAATTGTTTCTTACAATATTCTAACGACGGTTTTATTGACATGTAGAGAATCAAATTTAACGTTCAGTAATAGTACAATCTTAAATTCCGCAAATTTTGAGTTAAAACACTATTATAATATCAGTACAATATACTTATACTTTTTATTATATTTGCTTGAATAAAAATAGTCATTTGTTATGCAATTTTGCAAAGTTGTTTTTTGACGCGAGTGAGAAGATTTTGAGCGTAGTGAGGATTCGGATCTTGAGCGTAACGAGGAGGGTTTTAAGGCACGACACGCAAAACAATGGTAGAGGATAATGGTAGACGAAAGAAGAACAGTTAAACCATAACAAATCAGTTTTTAATCAAAAGATTTATATTACATAAATAATGTACGACATCACGTAGTTGTACGTGTCAATATGTTTTTCTTCATCGAAAGAAAAAGTTAGATACGCCACAGTTATCGTCATCTCCAAGTTCGAATTTCCAAAACGCTTATGTGCGCAGATTTCTAATGAGAAAGAAAGCCTGTCCGAGCTAGTGAGGTGTAAAAATAATTACCTGTCAATCTAAGTTACGTGTTGTAATTATATGTCATATAAATATTATATCATATGTTACATGTGTACAATAATGTGTATAATATATACTACAATTCCAGTATGTGTTACAATTTAACAGATGGTCCGGCAGTAGTTAGCATTAATCTCTTCGTGCGCAGTTTACCTACAATAAGCGACATAAAGATGGTTAGTAGCGTAGACACGGTAGCTACTACCACGCACTCGCTTCCGTGGTTCATGCGAGGGTCGAGTGAGATTTTTTGACACGCCTTTGCCATATTCCGGTCTATCCTATGTCAGTATAGATCGAGAAATACATAAGGGCCAGTACAAACTGGCGGACGGCAACGCAGAGGACATTAAATGCAGCAATGCATATTTTGTGCTATTTGAATTTGAAATAAGGTATAAATTGCAATGCTACTGCGACCGACCTAGCATCATCATCATTAATAATAATAATAATAATAATAATAATAAAATTTTTTAGGCCTTGGGAGAGGCGAGAGTTTAAAATAAATAAATATAATAATAATAATAATATTTATAGTCACAAAATAGATTACAACATATTGATGAAGTAAGTCCCTGACTCCTGAGCTAGGTATAACCTGTGTGACAGGAGCCAGTGCCCTCTCGCAAATTTTGACAAGGCTTAAGTCTATTTCATGAGAAAAATATAAATTAAAAATTTAATACAAAAAATAAAGTGAAAGAATCTATTATTAAAAGTCTCGATAAAAAGTACTCTAAGTAATAATTATATAACAAGTTGGATACATTGTAATATGCAAATTGTGATAAATATATCTGTAATTTTGTGTACGAGTGTGTGTGCGTGTGTGTGTGGGTGTATGTGTTTGTCTGAGTTAGTGTGGGTATTGGAATATTTCGTGATGGAAAATTAATGCCACATAAACAAAAAACATTCGCTATAATTTTAAGATAAGGAACAATTTTTGGTTTAATTAAAAAATAATAATAAAATTTATACCAATTGCTACAGTAACGCTTCGGTTTCATAGTAATCTAAAGCTAAAAGCCAATTCTTGACTTTGACTTTAACTTCATGAGCAGATAAAGGATGTATGTTGAGAGATTTATTCATTTTATTATTATTATTATCATTGAAATTTGTACCTTATTTCAATTGTAATTTATTTTATTTTTCAAAGTGCAAACAGCTTGTATCACAATATAATAGAAAATACATTAAATCATTGCACGCAAAAGAATACCCTACTGATAAAAATACAAATGTAAAATAAAGCCTTGACAACACAAATGACACATTACAGAAGCAGTAACATTACGCGACCAACCTCGCTTTCGTAATAAAACATTACATAAATAATACTTTCTTAAGAGTTTATTCTACGTCAAATGGCTTTGCTTATTTCTGCGTAACAGTCAAAGTTTTAAAGTAATCACTTTGGAAAACAATATATAGTACAATTGATGAATTGCGATGTGAAAACACGATTCTTGAACATTTTCCCGATAGAAAAAAAACACAGACCTACCTCGAAATTTTACAAGAAAATTGCATTCAATAAGTACTTTACATATACCAATGATTTTTTTAATGTCAACTGAACTAAATAGAACACCTTTACTGTCATCCTTATCATAAGTAACGCAATCGAATTTTTAACGAAATTGAGTTATTGACATGTCTGAGCTCAGCGAAACAAGATCTGCAACCCCATCTAATCGATTTTTTATTATCTAAATTAGTTTCAGTTTTATTGTTAAGTGAAATCCGCGTAATTGACTTTTTTTAGGTGACCATGATGCTTTAGGTGCCAATATATCGAAAGTTCCGAAATGCGAATGTGTCAGTTACGACAAGCAGGGCAGTATAGTACACGATATACATTTTTCAAATGGTTTTAATTTCCTTTGTAAAAAAATAAACTGTAAAATAAAGCCCAGCCGCTCGACCCAAGCAAAATAAACCGTATTAGAATGGGAATAATTTGAATTCGAACTAAGGTAAACGTACGCACAGTTATATATACATTGATATATTTAATGTCCTCTGCATTGCTGTCCGCAGGCCTGCACTGGCCCTAAAGGACCACCACACTTGTCGCCGCTAATTCGGCTTGAGCCGGTCACGAACAGCTTGGCGCTTATTGTGTCAATAAAGTAACTGACAGGCACAATCTGTTTCGATTAGTGTGGTGACTGCCTTATCTAACGAACACTAACAGAATATACTATGAACGTCAAATAATCTGTTTGCAACAACAATTGTAATTACGTCAACTGCTTAGAGAGAACAAATCTAGTCGCGTATATAACATGACGAGGCATATGGAAAAGGCAATAGGAATTATCTATGACATTCTTTCTTTTTTTTGCCTAGAGTGGCTTTGGAGTGTGCCCGAGGCGTTCAAGACGAAATTAAATCAAAAGTGCTATCTGTTTGGATTTCTTTCCAAGCTTTAATTACGTCTTGAAGGTCGTTGTCCAGGGTGGATAGAGACTTTTGCTTGTAACACCTTGAAGTTTTTGTATTTCAGCAAAAACGATTGATAGTTTTCAGAAAATACATAGTAAGGGTAAAGAATGATGAGTGACAAATAATAATAATGAACAAATTTTATTACTGTTGAATAGAAAATTAGAAAAGCACGTCCAAGAACAGCCGGACAGTTTTGTCTTTCCATATATAGCAATCACTCCTCCACTCCTCCAAATACAGGGTAAAATTTGTTCATCCGAAACAGGTGACTTCGTTATTTGTTTGTATGATTTTCACCGAAGCTGCTTCAGTGCGGCCGTGACCGATACACTTAACAAATTATAAGAGCAGAATATTTATGCTGTGTTCTTAAGGCACAGGTTGTAGTGTACTTATTGTGACACCCCTACTGTAATATATCCCCATGTCTTGGTTATGGCGAACGACTTGACGTGTTTCTATTCCTTCTTAAGTTTTATAATCAGATGGTATAAGTTTCCGAGTCAATAGAATTGTACATCTCTACAATGTCACTTACTCGGCAAAAAAAATGCTGCAGAGCTATTAAAAAATCGATAGAGGGTTCACGAGACACGCGATTGAAATGAATAATAAAAGGCCATTTCATTATCAAAGCACTTTATTTTATCAAATCTCTTTGATTCATTCATAAACTATAACATTCCTGTGTTATTTGGTTTCTAATGTAACTGTAATATAACGTGAACTACGCTTTGTAAGTAATTATTGAGTTTCCTTTTTAACAAAACATTAATTTCCGGGCTGTTCAAACGCCGCGCCTCGAAAGCCTCAAAGAAAACCGTCTCGCCACGATAATGTATACTGCTGAGTTGGGTTCACTTACTTACTACTAAAATTCATTGGCAAGAACGTTGTGAATTTGTGTGTGAAATTTTAATGGATTTATATCGGAATTTCCTTTGTAACCAAGTAAGTTACGCCCAGCCAATATTTAACAACGTTACAATGTCTTCTATAACTGAATTCTGCTCTATACCTGTAATTGTACACTAACACAAATTCCTGTAAACAAGTCAATCTGTTGTTTCATTTAGCTTCCAAAGTCACTTTTCCTTTAGTTCAATCAGTTTATGTCGAAGTCACTCAATTTTACATCGCGTTATCCTTGGATTATTTGCGCCTTCATCGAGCCCCACGTAGCCACATCGCGTTGATTAAGTATGTATTTACATCGAACACACAAAGCGCCCGTAGAAGCAGTGCCCGGAGAGAACCCGGCGAGCTAACACACACCAACCGTCGGCCTTGCCTGCCTACCTTGGAAACTTTGTTCTTCCAAACAAACCAACGTTTTGGGATCCTTAGAGTTCCGAATCCGAGACGGTCTGAAATGTCACAGAGATCATTTTATCTGTAGGTGTACAAGCGGTATCCGTATTTTCTCGGATTGGAATCGGACTTAGTGCACAAGCGATATCCGAAGTGGGTTCGAATTTTCTAGATTTGTATAGATAGATTTATTACTCGGATTGGGAACGAATATGAAGAGCATGCAGTACACAAAAACACGCTTACAGGTACAATGGTCACGGCTGATTGAGATAGTAAAGTTATCAATAATATTAAAGCAAAGCACTTTAACACGACCTAATAGACCACGGAATCAGAAAAGGGCCCGAAGCGTTGGTTTACTTGAAGTACGCGAATTGGACCCGAAGAAATTATTTCATTAGCAATGTGTATCCATCGCGAAAACTTAAAAAGTCGCCATAAGTTACTCACGTTAGGACCTGGTTTTCTTTGTATCCTAATTATTTATGCAACCGTTTGTACTTAGATGGCCCGGCGGTAGTGAGCGTGAATATATTTGTACGAAGTATATCAAAGATTGACGACGTCACCATGGTAAGTCGACAGGACGAGCTGAACCTCATGTAGACTAAGTCTTTTATCTTCCGACCACGGTTCGCTCAGGGCTACGACAAGTCAAATGAATGGGCAACTCCCTCCTCATTGAAGCAAGGAGAGATTTTCCCAACTACTCATGTGTTCGTGTTTTTCCATATATATAATATTATTTGTTTAAGTTACATATTAATCCCGTTTGGTGTTGACGACCAAAATCGTTTTTAGTAACGCGCGTTTTTACATCGCCGTGAGACTTAGCTCCACGCAGTAACACTACAAAGAGAATCGTTTACCTCTCAATCATGTATTACAATTTTTGTTTTTACCGCTTTGGACTCAATTTATTTTGTCGCGGAATGTTAGGAAGCGAATTGTTGTAACTATAGCACAATGATCTTTATGGCAATTGCGTAACTTAGAAAATAAATACGAGACAAACAAAAGGACGCCGATTTTCTTGAAACGACTGGTCTGAGATCATATTGCAATCATGATAGTATTTGTTATTGTGCTAAAATCTAATTTGCAACGGCAGTAGAGTCAAAATGGAATGTCAGTGATGTTATCCCGTTTAATCTCCAAATTAATCTTAAAACGACACACGGAGGGAAAGTACCGTAAATACCGTAGATAGAACATTTTATTGAAACTAGACTTCATTTTTATTTTAAAAACAATTCGAACTGCATTCAAAGATTTTTAAATAATCGCCTATCTGAACACGCTAAATATGAAAAAAAACACTTGTGTAATTTTACTATACTGACTTAAAGCATCAGTCATAAAGACTGTTTTCTTCTTAAAAGGAAAAGTGTGAAATGAAGAA